CGGCTGGAAGCCCAGCCAGCCCCTCGCCCCGGCTGGGAGCATCGGAGGTGCTGGGTCCGGTGCAGCGCAGCAGGGTCTGGCGCCCGATCTGTCCCCCCAGGGCCGGGCCAGGCGCCCCTCACCTGCATCCCCTTCATCCCAGCCTTGCAGAAGAATTTCTTCACCTCCACGTCGATGTGCATGTCCCCCACGTAGCTGCGGAGACCGGAGCGTGAGGGGCGCGGCACCTCCCACCTGTCCATCCTGCCGCAGACCGGGACACCCCTCCACGTACCCGGCTCCCCCAGGCCAGGCTGCCAATGCCTCCCCCTTCCTTGTGCCCCCGAGCCCAGAACCTGCATCCTCTCCCTAGCAGAGAGCCTAGACCCATCTCCCTGCCTCTTCACAGCCCTTCTTGTAGGCTGGCTGCCCCACACCCAGGCACAGGACAGACGGGCCCTGCAGCTCCTTATGGGGAAATCCTGGGCAGAGACAACACCTGGATCAGCAAGGGCTAAGAACCAGCAGCTGGCTAAGAACCAGCACGCTCGGTGCCCAGGGTGAGCCTCTGAGCTGCACTCCTGCGACTGGCCACTAGGGGGTAGCGCGGGGCCACCGGCTCCTCACCTGATACTCAGGTCCAGCAAGATCTGCTGCTTGTTCTGGCCGGCATGGACCTTGACACCCATGATCCGGAGGGGCTGGATGGGAGCAGGAGGCAGACGGTTACCAGAGCTCGGTCCCCAGGAGGCTGCCCTCTGCCCCTGAATGCAGCTGCCTCTGGGGTGGGACGTGGCAGCTGTTAACGGGGGGGAGGGAATGGCTGTGCACCCAGCCCTTCTGATGGGGTCTCCCCACGCTCCGGGAGGGGCTGCTTTGGCAGGGCAGGGGTCCTCGACTCCATGGATCCCCCAGCTCCATCTGTCTCCTCCACCAGCAGGGAGGGAGCGTGGCCTTCCCACTGGAGTCCACTCACAGAGCGAACATCTCGGGCCTCAGCCAGACCCGGGGAGCTGCCAGCAGGTGCCATGTGGCCGGGGCGGGGCGTGCTGCTGGGCCTGGCGGGGGGGATGCTGGCAGGCAGCCTGAGACCCATGCTTGGCTGCTCCGGGTTACAGTGACCCAGGGCGATCCTGCCCCGTGTGATGCAGCGGCGGGAGGGGCTCACGGGGGCCCTACCTTCTCGCCCAAGTCGATCTTGGTGAAGGTGAAGGTCTGCAGGTGGGTGTTGGAGGCGCGAATGGCAGGCGCGATGTTCTCCACCAGCAGCTTTTCCATGTACTGCCCGAAGAA